CTCGGCGAACAGGCAAAATGGAATTCAGTTCACCCGAGCCACGAAAACCGATTTTCAATATTTTGTCAGGATGATATGTATTATACGATTTGATAAAAATCAAGTTCCATAGGGGAATTCCGTAACTAACAGTGTCAAATGTAAAGCGAAATACGGTGCAAAGCACACACTGAGGTGTTACTTCTCACAACTGTCAAGGGATAGGCTTGATACTCGACGAGTTTCCCANAGTTTCCCAGGGTTTAAAAAAAATTCCGATAACACCCGAATGGCGTGCTTAGTGACAGCAGTTTCTCAACAAAGATAAAACCGATTCGGCAAGTCAAACAGATTGATTGAGGATTCAAATTGAAAAAGATACCTGGTGGATCAATCTGAGAGACCTGAATCACCTAAAAGCCGGTATTTTACCGACTCGTTCTCGGTTTATAAAACGAAGGTTCGCGCTAGGTGAACCACACATTGTGGTAAGAGAGAACCGGAAGCGCCGGAAGAAAAACATTAGTCGAGGTAGAAAACATTGACCAAGAATGTTTGCGTTTAGGACATTGAATAATGCTCGCAACGAGCACACACTTCTACCGAATGCTGCGATTTGCGCGTGAAAACACGTGACAAATTAGTTTTAGTGAATGTGATATTGACCAGAATGTGTCAAACTAGACTGAGCTCGACATGCGCACTTCGATTAAAGTGCGCGTGTGCCGTGACAGGTTTTGATTTTTCTCTGGGTAGCATACATTTTCCACTTTATTCCACGGAAGTGTGGTTGCTCAAATCAAACAAATCGGGTCGGTAGTTGATGGAACAGAAGTCGGATAGGTAAAATTACAAAAACACATCCGGTAGCATGTTTTACGAGTCACATCAAAGAGCAACGAGGATGAATCATCTTTGTTTATTCAGTTATGACAACAAAGGGAGTTTAGGGTGTAGGATATGGTGGATGGGGAGGGGAGTGAAAATTTCGGGGCGCCGTAGAACCAGAGAGCGAGAGAACGCGCCAATGAACAAAACGAAGATTGGGGTGTACTTATTGTCGGTATGATGAAGGAAACAGACGCCAGAAGGCTAGCAGATGGTTGATGTTTATCAACCAAATCGGAAAAGAGAAATTAAAAAAACACGTGATCAACAGAGTCTGCATCAATAACAACAATCACTATTTGACAACCGAGTTGAATGAACACAATCTAGCAACGTTGCGCGGAATAAGGCAACAAGCATACTTCAGTGTGAGTTGGACTACCACGTGTGAAAAATGGCGAGAACAGGAAAATCAGTTTAGGCTGGATAAGCCTAAAAGGACACTCACCACGGTTGCATGCGGACAGTAAAGAATGCCACAATTTGAACTGCTAAATGCGTCNAGAAGCTGACAGCCCAGTGACAACAGAGTGATGGTTGAAAGAAGACGCATTCTAGGAGGTTCAATGGATAAGTGCGGATAGGGTTTCGTGTAACCAACTGGAAAAAAGATTGAGAAATAAATTGAAAGCAAAATGGCAAGTGACTGATTCGTTTTGAGTTATGCATATAGTCAACAAACATTTGCACAACGATGCACCTAGGTTTGTTTTTCCGAAAACGAGTAAATAGATCAAGGAACCAAAATAGCTTTATTGGATCGAAAATCAACATTCAGATGGGCAAACATTTTTTATTACGCACTTTCGTGCGATGAACAGAAGACGGGAAAAGCCCCATGAGGCCCCAGTAGGTTGGATGTGGTATTGAACCGGACGACAGCAAAGCTGTCTCCCACCAAAGTTCAGTGGTGGTCGTGGGGCTCGAACCTCGGACCATAGGGTACAAAGCACGCCGGTGAAAATCGACTAAAGCACTGCGCCACCACCACCCATTGTCTATAAGAACCATATTACGCACTGTTTCTTTGATGCATCGACTTGAATTGTAGATCAGTTCACTCGTTATTACAAAGTAACCACTCCACACGGTCGGTTTACACGACCGAGACAGCATCAACACGGACCTCGTCGTCAACGGTCACACATGGTCAAGTGCCATCTGAGATTACCTGCAAATCGACTGCTCCTTTAGGCAGGAGACGATGGTGCATAGCTTTTTGAAAAATAATCACCAAACTCAGAGATTAGCGTGAATTACCTGTGTTTCGAAAGTCTTAGTCTATCAGATACAGGATCTGCGACCGTTTAGTTAATAGAGCTAAAACTAACTTCAGTATGAACGATTTCATGATCCAACGAGATCCGTGCACTCCTGGATGGTTATCGATGATCGAGCACTGAGGGTGTTTTTCGAAAAGGATCATGCTTGTAAATCAAAGTCTATTACACCATGGGGCGAAGCCGCATAAATGCTTGTAGGATTTTTACACATTGGGTTCAGATATTATATTAAAATTGTTCACACACCTAGATCGTCCAAAGATAAAGAACTGTCGAATCACATGATCCTGAATCGGATAAGGACCCAAACACCTCTATCCACCCCATTCTTGCAACTCCTCTCGATCTGGGGGATAGTCCAATTAACGAAGATGTGGATACAATGATTAAGCTTATTCAATAGTATCGATTTTCGGCCTTGGTATATCGGGTGCAATTGCGATTACCCCATAACTCGCAGACAGATTTGTTAGGCTGATACAGATGAATAAACCCCCTCCCCTCCGACACACAAATGTAACCAGGATCGGTTACACACTCGATTCATATGCCGTGAGCGTGTGCGCCGCAAGCGCGAGATTCAAGTGAGAAAAAACTATTCGCAGAAAGTAACAAGTTATAGGAACACGAATGTGCTCGCTAGACGATGAATGAGTCTGAGCAACCAACGGTGGACCCGGGGTTAAAGTCGATCACGCGAATACTCAGTGTGAAAGTCTGGCAGATCGCTATCGACAGAGTTGGCTGTAACTGGAGGTGGAGTGGTAGGCATCAATTTGACTCACTATTCGAAACAAAACTCAGCTTGGTATCCCAGAAGTGACTATGCGTTCCAGTAGACGGACAGCTCGATACCTTCTTGACATACTGTTAGGATTCTAATAATCTTGCCTGTGAATTTGACATAACTGCAGGTACCGTCAGAGTATTCGACTTACTGTGCAAAACAGAAGGAAAGGAATTGATACACATTAATAATCCACTTTTCCTCATTACCACTTTTTTAAACGACAATCTCCAACCTCTTTCTGTTATGATAATCTGAACGATTCTGAACGCTCGTTATGGTCTATGCTATTTATGGTACAACTACGAAAAATCGATGGATATAGGACTGTAACACCTCCACTAGAACGAATTCAATGTTAAATAGGAAAGAAGACAGAGCTGTGACTCCCAGTTTCAACAACCAAACTAGCAATTTGCTACTATGAGAAGTGGAGGAATGAAAAGCTGAAAGCGAACGTGAATTGTGACGAAGGCAAATTTAAACTAATTTCCATCCATTTAACTCTTCCCAACGGCCACTCAACCGGATAGGCTGCGATTAAAGTGCATTATTGAAATCGACCTGAAATTTGGAGTAGCAATTCGGTTTTTGATGCCGCAAAACGAAATTAGATTTCTTTGTTCTAGATAGCACTGAGAGTTCGAGCAAGGTAATAGGGCGTTTGTGGGAAAGGCTAATTAAGCAAATGAGTCGATCCCCTTCGGGCACAGGCACACACGAAAAGATGGGGTTTTACACTATAAAATGAAGAAATTATGGCCTGGTGGTTGAAACAGTCCTGATAATGACTAAACGAGTCATCCATTCAAGTGCAAACAACGAGATCACATGAAAAGTGTAACAGACAGCATAGGCGGAAATCGCAAGCACATACAGGCAGAACGACAACTTACAAGTAACGCTGAGAGAGGTGATGAGAAATAAATCAATATACAAGAATTGACCATCTGAGAGTGAACTTCCAATCTGTGAACAAGAGAGGATTAGAGCAGAATGGTTGTTCTGAGTGCAAGAAACTGAATCTGGGACGAAAAAAGTAACGAAATTGCCAGTTGAAAGATTATTACAATTTAATTTTCAACAAATACGAGCACAGTGAAGCAGTGTTTTAATCATACGGAAATGGTCGTGGATTTTATGATGAATGAGAAAATGAAGTTAAAAATAGTCAATGTGATTGAATCAGGTTGCGTGACCGGTGGTGGTGAATTTTTGTCCAGCACAGTGGGCGCTTGCTAACTTTAAAATAAACCCATGTAGGATAGTGTCTATGCCAGTTCGGGTGGTATAACTTTCTGGTGTTGAATACTGACTTTTCAACATATCAGCAATGGACGAATAAGGGTAAAAACAAAGGACGGATATATGTCAAAAGTGTGATCAAAAGTAAGTGAATACACGAACGGAGCGCTTGAACATGCCATTTTGTGCATCAGACAAAAGATTAAATTGTCATTGAGTTCGATTCATGTGATTAACACGCGCCAATCCATCGGTCTACATTTTACAACAATTTAGCGAACACGAGAATGATGTACTTCTGTTCTCGTATCTCAATGGACCTTAACGGAAGACCCGATAGAAGAATAAATATTTCAACAATAAGCAAATCAGGTAGGTGGAGGAAATGATAAAACCCCAAAGCGCTAGTAAATACCCTATTCAGTGATGCTACCAGACTCAAGCCAAACAGTCTTGCCAAATCCACGATCCCAGTGTTCTCGTTATTAACACTTGTGCCTTGTTTATCGACAAATCTGTAGTACAAGTACAATTCAATGGATCTTTCGAGAAATAGAACGAAATATAAAGCAACAGAGCAAACTGAGCCTTTCGAAAATGAAGAATGACGGTGGAGTATGTGTATTGAGATTGGTCTCACAAACGATATCCGCTTTTCCAAAATCAGGTGGGTAACATCAACATAGAATAGACTTTAGCTTATAGACAACCAGAATGATCACTAACTTGAAGGGATCAAAGCTCACAAAACGTGTCACTTACATAGAATAGGGTAATCACAGAAATAAACTGGACAAGAGAATATCCCGTGATGAATTTCAACGTGCCAAAGCTGGTCACTAGCGCACAACGACCTTCCCGAATCAGTGCGGGAATGCAACTGATGTTCTGCTTTTTCGAAGTAAAGGGACTGGCCACACTGGCTTCGGCTTCACTCAACGAAACGCCGGCGTGCGCGGCTTTCAGAGCGCCACAATCGTTTGCCCCATCCCCACACATTGCAACAAAATAGCCGACAGATTGCAGTGCCTCGATCAGCTGAGTTTTTTGATCCGGTGAGAAACGAGCAAAAACCGTGCCCTTGACCACCAGCTATTGAAAAGAAAGCAGGGTAGGTGAAAGATTAGTAATGCAACAATGAAATTAGGTCACGCATGGAGAAAATCGATTTCGGGAAGAAAACGAACAGACAGAACAGAACGACCTAAACGAATCTTGATGAACAAAATATCAATATTCGATAGAAAGTTAGTAATGAATGGTTATCACGAAAAACGTTTAGCTCCAAACAGGCTACTTCTCCATGCTTTATCTCCTGGATAACTGTGATGTAATAGAAACATAGGAATGACGAATTGACACTCATGAGTGACTAGTGTTTGGATGTCTTGTGTTACTTGAGATGAATAGATTGGGAGCACTGTATTAAGAAAATGCGTCTTGATCAAAGAGGACAGAGATTACGCTCACAACACATCAAGAATTATGCCTTAAACGTGTGCAACATGGATGACATGGTGCAATCTAAAATTGTGTTCGTATTGCTAAACATTTCTGTTATGAATGGTTTACTAGCGAACTGATACAGTAAAGTTTGAACAGAAATATAAAACTACTTATCAAAGTTGTCTTACGGTACAAAAGAATGAGTTCGTTTTGGGGATCTAGTAACCTGGACGCCAAGAACTGAATTACAACCGCCGGGGTACATGTAACACTGTGAAAAATTCGCTATCCGTAAGCAACTGTCTAATCAGGGATGTTGGTCACTATGAAACAGTCTGATTAGTTGTTCGATGGTAAAACGAGTAGCATTGTTGCATTGTGTAAATGGGGATCCAAGATCTATGCCTAATAGGTCTGAATGGTTCTCACTGATCATAATACCCCAAAGACTTGGAATAACTGTACAATGTTTCCTAACTTCTTAATTCAGGTTTTCTTGACTGTGGTTACGATGAATTGCACAGAACTTCGAGTGTATGCCCGAAGGGCACAAAGGAAAAATGAAAATCATTAGTCAGGGCCGATAAGCAGCACTAATAAAGCACAATTAAATGCAACTCATCTCCTATTGGAGAGAGGGTGTACAAGCGCCTCGAAGACTGGAGAATCGGAATCAAATACTTAACGGAAACAGATCACGACCAAACAGATAACTTTTAAAATCGTTAAAAAATGAGGTATTGCATGCAAAACCATTGTCTATATGGATTTGGGCACACTTTTTTTAAATATGATATATGAATAGTCCCTGTTATAGTGTAGAAAAGTACACAAAGAATATAAATTTTAGCTTGAGGAACATATTACGTTTTTAGGTCCAGCGACCCAAGTCCTGGCGGACCACGTCACGGAGAAGAATTGGACTATAGTATGGTTGTCTGCTGTGAACGGCGTGAGCGGGAATCCATTGTACATCTAATGCTCAGTTGTCCGTGATTGAGAATAAGCCGTGGTTTCTAGCCGTTCCAAAGCCATGGAGAATGCAATAAGTCACTAGGCTAACAACACCCAAAGTACTAAAGCATATTTCGTCAACCAAAAACAAAGAAACAACTAATCCTGCTGAAATAACTCGCAGGAATGTGGACACTTTGAAACTGAGTGAATGAAATATGAACGAACCTTTGGGATGAGCCATGGATAATGTTCCCTGATGATAGCCCATGTTTTGCCTGAGATGGCTAGGTGGAAATCGGGCCGATCGATCATGCGAATATTGATTCGATGGGAGGTCGATAGGTTCATTTTTTCTCTCGATCTAGGTGAAGACGGTGCGAATGGGCTGTTCGAGAATCGCTCAGAAACGCTATTGGCTTCCGGTGATTGATCTGGGCCACCATTCACGACAGGCACTGTATCGTAAAAGGTGACACTGCACACAAACGAAGGAATATAATACAGATTAACGGTAAACATCAGATGATCTAGTGGTGTACGGAAAGGTGATGCAGCTTATTCACCGCCTGGTGAAGTAAGATGCGCAATGTGCGAATAGCTAACCAGACAAACAGTACCGCCTGAGGAAGTAAATAAAGTCGTGATCAATGTTTAGTGAAATGTGCAACCTTTACGAGCTTGCATAATTCGCTATTTCTATTACTACAGATTTAAGTATATAGGTAGAACTGCTATAATCCGCAAATTGGAGCGCATCACAAATTGCAGTAACTGTGGGCGGGGGTTTCAAATGGGATGGATGACAAGCAATTTAACAAAACACATCGAACGGTGAAGCGATCGGATAAGAGTGACAGAAGTATAATCAAATCACGAGATACACGAATTGGGGATTGATAATCGATAGAACGGTCAAATGATAGAATGTACGATAGTAAGAGCCAGATAATGGAGGAAAACTTTACAAACCGAGGAAGATCAACAAGAGATGGCTACTAAATTGCTCCAGTACCCTACGCCTGCCGCCAATGGTTCATTCCTTCTCTATTATGTTAAGTTCAATAGAAGAAACATCTGGTCATGAAAACCTACGTTTTGAGAGTGGAAAAAGGTCAAAGACCAGACTGGAAAACCGCCAAAGGGTGTAGTGGAATAAGCATGAAATTCGGTCAAGAGAGAAATGTTATAAATCTGTCCATCACCAGAGCTGAGTGACAGGTATTTAATCTGAGACCTCAGATTCCGGAGCACATCAGCTAGAACAAATTAAAATGATTGACCATCACTATGAAGCCTTCTCCAGATCCACAATGTGTGCTCAACATACATTAACATCGCCCTCGAAGACTTCATTCATCAGCTTCCGGCATTCGGTCTCCCTGTTATCTGTATTGATAATTTTGTGTCTTTTTCACGATCCTCCGGTTGAGTAAAAGTTAAAATGTTGCGTGAAAGATTACCTTACTTTGCGTACTCCATGTTTCTCACCCATCTATTGATGCTCTTTTATTGCGCACAGCCCCACTCACACATGATACTGGATGAAGCTATCATGTGTAGGCTGGTATTCCATTTTTATTCCTCTTCCTACAGCACGGGTAAGCAATTCGCCCCAATAGAAAGGCATTTATTAACTAAAGGTTGAATATAGGAACCAGATACAGGCAGTAGTATCACCATACACTCTCACCGTGACCATCTCGGTTTGTCATCGGGAAACCTGACCTTTTGCATTTGTACCGCAGAAGTGTGTTTACATCTGACGATGCCTTATGCTGCTGATTATCTTGACAACAACGATGTTGTCGGGGGTAGTACCGTTTATTTGAAAGGGTTTACCTAATTGCTTCAGGACCGTGAGACTATCAAAAAGCATTCCACGCAGGGAAAAGAAAAACGGTTCGATTACATAGTGAGCTTGCCTAGTTCCCAAAGCAAACATGCAGGAAATTGAGTTAAATGCGCGGCTTTTCGTGAAGGTCGCGCCGCAGCGTCCTAATTAAAACAGCCGGAGCTCGTCAGAGAAAGACAGTGGGCATAAATCACATGTTAAGGGGAAATCCAACTATGCGTCAAAGGTGAACGCGTTGCAACACAGCCTTGCCGCTGTACACTAAACGAAAACAGTTCTCAGGCTGTGTTTATCTACCACACAGACATTCGTTGTATCTTGAATTACGACTGCGAGACAGTCCTTGAGGCAAGAACCTTCGAATATTCCAGGTTGCTGATCACTGGTGACAGCGCTACATTCTGAAGTCAAAGCGGTCCGACCGTATATTATTACAACTTCATTCTTGATTCAATGCTGGCAATTTCGCCCTTTTGTCTTTCTACTTTGGTATTGCAGACAGGAAAAGGTGCATTTACGCCACTGAATTCAATTTACCGTCATATCTCCAAGTGTCCCCAGTCAATGACAGTTTCAATCTTTGGGGCCGGAATCCGCAAGCTTGGGCGAAAGCGAGATCGGAACATAATTCCTCCAACCCTCTTCACCACGCCATTGCTTGTCCACCTCGCTCTTTCTTCCAGTCCGTCCCAATGTTTGCAAATAGCGCACGGTACGGACGAGACCCAGCCGCCTCAGACGGTGCAGTGAAATGGTTTTCCTCAACGGAAGACTATCTGATCATAGCACACGTAGTCTAACCACATGGGCATTCACGCGATGCTCCCACCGTTCATTTGATTTCTGCTTACTGACTTGACTTGAGCCTCAGAGTCTTATTGTGAACCGTCAGATGTCTAACTATATCTCACCTGCAGGACGCATCACAGATGAAGTGTCGGCGCCGGTACAAAAGGCGCGATTGGCAGTTGCCAACTTGAGACATCTGTGGCGCCGTCGCGACATCCGGCTGTCTGTTAAGGGTCGAGTGTATGCTGCAGCGGTTCGACCAGTTCTGTTATACGGCGCAGAAACTTGGCCATTAAGGACCCAGGGTAAAGATAGACTGTCGGTGTTCGAACACCGCTGTCTACGCAGCTTTGCACGAGCAATGCTGAGGTTAGACACGGAGTTTTAGGTAAATGCGGTCGTCCACTGGAGCAAGTAGTCGACCTCCATAGGTTACGTTTGCTGGAGCATGTGTTACCCATGTCACCAAGTAGGTTGCCACAGCAAGCGATGTTTGCTGAAGCAGGTAGTGGGTGGAATAAAGTCAAGGATGGTCAAACTTAGACCTGGCCTGAGGGTATGAAAACCCTAACCAGGAGTCTGGGTCACATAGGTCCCGTTAAGCTCCCTAGGTGGGGACCTCGGGATGATCGTAACCGATGGTTAGAAACACTGAGTGACATGGCTGGATGCCGTAAACAGTGGCGTTCGTTTATGTTCTCAATTTCTTTGCATCATTAGTCCACTGAATTTCTCGTCAATCCTACTTTCAACCTTTTCTGTCTTTCTCCTCATGGTCATCGAAATGGGCAGCCAAAAGACAGCAACCAAAACCGCCTCACGATAGTGCTTGGTTAATGCTTGTAGTAACTGAACTGAATTGAACATATTTGTTGTGTACTGTGCTGTGATGGACGAATGAATGTCTCTTCCATTTTTAATTCGGTTAATCGGTCGAAATTTGTCTTTTTTGACTTCTCCCGTGCTTCCAGTTGATGGGGTTTATATTCAACATTACTGAAAATTTTACTGATGTCTCGTTGGAGTTCCAAAATCGAATTGTTCACGGCTGGGTGAGATACCACGCCGACAGTTTTTGAATACATGGAATCCAGCATTTTGGTTTGGTCATCATGGTCCAAGAACTGAATCCAGAATTAATCATCGCAAATTTAGGGTCTCGCAACCATAGAGTAGAACTGGCCGCACATTGGCGTAGTATACGCAGCCTTTCAGTTCCAACGAAACATCGCGTCTACACCAAAGGTGTTTCCATTCTGCATAAGCTGCTCGAGCCTTGGAAATGCGGGCGGTTACTTCATTGACTATGCTACCGTCATTTGA